AAAAAAACACTTTGTATTTGGTTGAAATCACAATATTTGAGCTGGGAATAAGTGTTATAGACCTTTTATGGACAAACCCTTTCAAAACATGTTTAAATATTGTAATTTCACTCAACAGCCATCATATCGAGATCCTTAAATAACTTTGATTCTTGATTTTTATTTGGGTAGACTCCACTTGTGTGTGTATACATGGGAACAGTTAATAGTAGAAGAGGTAATATAATTCACTTAGCCCTCCACTTTTCTAAACTTCCTCCCCACAAATAAGCATTTCATTAATCCTGATACAACCGCTTCATACTGACTGAGTGCGTCTCACAATTAAAGCATTTATTTATTATGTCACCTAACCGTGCCAGATCTACTTGGACTCGTCCTTTGTTTTGATGTAAATGGAGAATTTAGTAGCACAACTGAAATCTTAAAGAGCCCAACTAGTAAAATATTTCCTCGCAGTGGCGTTGATGGTTTGTGTTGAGTTGATTAAATTGGAGGGGTAGCTGTTCTGTTTACAGATTAGAGAGAAAAATCGGGGCTACACAAAAGGAGAAACTTGCACTCCGCCGTTTGTTCTGTGTGTTGGTAAACTTCCATCCAAAGATGTTTTTTAAAAAAAGGAAAAAAGAAAGAAAAGAAGGTAAATAGAATTTACAGCCTCACATAAAATTCTTGTGCACCGGGTTGCATCAGTAGCCAATGTGGTCCACATTAGAAAAGCTTAGCATGGCTCAACGTTTCCTCCATAACGCACAAACACACAGCCCCATGTACGGCTTGAAATCACTGGTGTATACAGCATAAAAGTACTGCTCATGCTTGAAATCATGCACACAGGCGGCCTCTGATTCTCCACCACTTTGATCAGCTGCCGGCGCTCACTTCCGGCTTAACGAGCGTGCCTTCCAGACACCTTTTTATGACCGAACTAATTACTAATTACACAAGTGGTTGGCGCGAGCCACAGCACAACGTGGGCCCTTTTGTTATTTTAATTGTTGTTATTTTGAAGAATGGTGCTTCAGTAAATTCTGCCAAGGATACCAGAGGAGGATGGATGAGCTCTGAATAATTTATTATCTTTGTGGAAACACACTCAGCTTGTGTTGGGGGGGTTGCATAGTGCTGTACATCTCCATTCTTGTTATAGCGGCGCTCATATTGGGGATTGATGACGAGGTATCTTTCATCGTACGTCCACCTCTTCTAGCAGCCTATCATTAGGGCTTCACTGTCGCCTCTGCCCTGGATGAATATGAGTGGCAAACGCAGTCCGCTCCATGCCGTAACTAATTACTCCAGGCAGTGGTTCCCCCTCCTGATGGATTAATGTGTATTGTGTGAACTGGACAGAGCCCCACCTTCCATGAGATGAGAGACGAGCCCATCCTGATTCAGAGGCGCTTGCACAACCTTGATAATTATTTTCATAGATGAATGAAATTGCAGGCGGGATGATGAAGTGGCCATTTGCGTGCGGGGGCTATCACATGCAAACATAGAGCACAGGCTTTGTCACCACTGAGAAATCTGGTCCTGCACAGATCTCGGTCCCCAGCGTCGGTCTAGCTTGCATTCAGCACACACACACTCGCTTTCAATTCACAGCTCTGAATATACAACATCAATATTCATTTTCTCCAGTTTTTGGTTTCATGGCTAAACATTTTCTCATGCATTATTTCTATCTACTCTACTATAAATATATGCCGAGCAGCTGCCACTGTCCACTTGTCAGCCGTTTGAGACTGATTTTTTTCCTCCCTTTTTATAAAAAAAAAATCTAGATGAATCAAATAATCAGTGGTTTTCATTAGCGAGGGCATACAGGGTTTTAAAGGACCTGCTTGGAAATTGTATTTATTTTCTTGCGTATAGCTCTTTTCCCTTTTAGAGGCCCCTGTGTGATCATTGGTGTTGGACTGAAGATTTGTGAGGAGCTCCCGGCCGGAGCGGCATTCAGTAGTAGATCGCATAAAGCATGCTGGGGTTCTCCCGTCGTAGCCAATGCCACTGAAACCATAAACCGTGTCTTCCTACAACTTTAACCTTCGCACAGTTCACTTCAGCCTCTTATGAGCAAAAGGTTTTTATAAATTTTTACTTCGTAATGTTTAAGGATTGCTTTTTGTCATCACTGATGACTTAAAGTAGACTTGGTTTTACTGGCTTCTAGGATCAACATAATCAAAGATGTAACATGTAAATGTAATGAGAGCGGATTCTGCTGATTAATAAGATGTATTTTTCACACACCAGAGAAAACATTTACATTACCTCACTAACAACGAAGCAGCTCTCTAAACTCAGTTCAGTGACATCAGCGTAATGCCAGATGAGAATTTCTATACTTCCTAATCCCCCCCCCCCCCCCCCCCCCCCTTTGAAACATTTAGTTCAAGAAAAAGGACTATTTGACTTGAGTCAGTTAGGATTTAGTCTCACTAAATAGCCAAGAACATGTTATTTTTTCCTCCAGTCTGAGTTTTTCATCATTACATTTAAACAGTTACAGTTTTTCTTGCTGCCTAGTTACCAAAGGAACTGATTTCCTAATAGAAACTAAAGAAATAAAAGCACCTAAACAGAAAAAAATGACTGCTGCGACGCTTTGTTGTGCCTTCAGTCACTTGATTTTACTAATATTTTAAATAATAAAAATAGAAGTTCTTTTATAGCCTGCGTCACCGTCCTCATTAAAAGTTAACACTTTCCTTTCCTTGAGAGCAGAATAATTACTGATCAGTTCTGGTAAAGGATGATGTACTTCGGGGACAAATATTGAACTCATAGACATTGATTAATATTGGTAATGCTAACCATCCTAGTGTTTGTAACGGCCTTTCCGTATCATGCTAGCTATAACTCTGGCAAGAGGTGTCCTGCTGGGCTTGGGATGAGCCTGGAATGAAAGTGCGTGCCACAACAGTGTGCGCAAAATGATCACACTGTTGTTTATTCTTTGAACTGTGATGGCGCACACTTACTCAGCTCCTCTTCCCAAAGAGCGAATCAAAAGAGGGGGATAAAAGTAAAAAAAGAGAGCACTTTTGCTTCTGGGATGGAGAGCCTCATTGTCAGGAGCAGGGATACAATGATGTGGGATTTCAGCTTGTGTGTAAGTGAATGTTTTTAAAGACAAATTCTAAGAGTTTTGGGGGGGGGGAGCCCTCCAAACACAATGCTGGCTTTATGTATGCTTGCTCGGACCAAGTGCTAATGCTGGGCTGCTATACCATGCTGGCTGGTAATTGCTAACACATGTGCTACCTCTGTCTCGTTGCAGCAGGCCGAGGGACTTCTGGCGCCTAGACTACTGGGAGGACGATTTAAGACGGCGACGTCGCTGCGTCAGGAACCCCTTTGGATCCAGTCACTCAGAAGCTACGCTCAAAGCTGTGGCTGAACATGGTCAGTCTCATCCACCAGGTTTGCCCCCCCCCCCACTCCCCCGCCTGTTCATTGCACAGCCTTTCTTACTCATTTGGTGGTAGCACCAGGTACAAGGCAATAAAAATTAGTCCTCACACTGCAATAAACGATTTATTGTACCACAAAGCGGAGGAGAAAAAAAACACCCACATTTGAATTTCACACACAGGTAATTTCATACACAGCCACCCATTAGGCAAAACCGAACTACCGCCTTCGTATTGGCTTGCTTTATTCAGAACATGTTTAACTGATATGTTGTGGATAACATGACGTATTGAATTTTATTTATTCTTTTTTTTTCTTGGCTGCATAACAGTGGCTGATATAAGTGGTAAGTAACATTCACTCAGCCTCATATTTTCTTTTTTTCACCTTTCGAATGAAGGATCACTGTCGGATTTGAACTTTTCATTTCAGGAATATTTTTCATAACTTTTAGAGTTGAAATTAAATGTATAGAATTTTTCATATTAATCAAACCATCTATTAGGTCCTTGTTTGTTTTGGGGTTTTTTTTGCCACCCTTGAAAGAAGCATTAAGATCACAGGATGAAGGTGATCGGTCAGAACAACTTTGTGTCCAGTCACTCATCCCACTAAATGAGAACACAGACCCCAGCAATGCCAGCAAAATCCCCCCAAACATAATAGAACCTCCTGTGCTAAGACTTTAGCTTTTGCTATTAATTTGTCACTAATATGTGTAAATCATGTCTAATATTATTTAACAGTAAACAAGTTTATTAGAATGCTAGCAAAAACGCAAATTGGAGTTGAAGAAAGGCCTCAGTTACTGATAATTTTACATGGTCTGGGATAATCAGTTCTGACAGTGAACACCAACAACACTGACTTATTTTTTCCTTTACCATTATAATGTAGACACCC